GTGTTGGGAGGAGCACTCCACTTAGAACCCATGTCTCTGAAGATCTTCATGGCTTTGTATGTATCGCCCTTCAAACAATATGCGTGAATCAATGATCCAAAAGTGAAAACCGTTGGAACAAGGCCCTCATTTATCATCTTGCTCAGTACTCTATCAGCAGTTGTAAGTTCCCCAGCTGAGCACAAATACGAAATCAGCGTGTTGTATGTGATGCTATCAGGCTTTACTCCAGCTGTCTCCATTTCCTGGATCATCTCATGCACCTTCTCGAGTTTTTTTGTCTTGCAGAACCCGTTAATCAAAACATTGAAGGCAATGACATCCAGGGAGAACCGGGCCTCCTTCAACTTTGATACAACAATGCTGGCATCATCCATCCTTCCGGCTTGGCTTAAACCAGAGATCAAGCAGTAGTAAACTTTTGCATCTGTGGAGCATCCAGAACTTAACATTTGCTCAAACAGTTCCATTGCCATGCCAATATTGTTTACATTACAAAAGGAAGTGATTAGCATCGTGTACGTCGTGACATTGCCTTTTATACCATCCCTCTGCATTTCATTAAGGAACTCCAGTGCGCTGTTGAGCCTCCCATGTTTACAAAGACCATCAACCAAAGTATTGAGAGTAACTACACTTGGCGGTATACCTTCCTCCTTCATTTGATCATAGAGCTCACGACCCCTCTCGATGTCCCCAACCTTGTTGAAACCGTCAATCAAACTATTGTAGGTAACAGTATTAGGTGCACAGCCATCTTGCAATCTCATTTTTTCCATCAGACGTAATCCTTCTTCTTGCCTTCCCACTTTACAAAGTCCATCAATCAGAGTGTTATAAATGATCACATCGGGTTCAGCCGAAATCCCATCAGTTTTCTCTCCTCCTCCACTTATCCTTTGAAACAACTCCAAGGCCTCATCCACCCTCCTAGACTTGCACAAATAGTTAATGACAATACTGAAAGTTACAACATTGGGAGGGATGCCCATTTCTTTCATCTTTACCACAAGCTCATTCATCCTCTTAAAATCTTTAACTCTTCCCAAATCTGTCAAAAGCGCATTGCAACAAGCAGCTTCTACAGCACCACCAGAATTAATAATGTAATGTAAAACGTCCCAAGCCCGACTAGTGTTCCTGTTCCTACACAACGACGTGATCAATTTTGTAAGTTTCAAACTATCATGAAACACACCATGCTCCCCAAATTTCTGCACCAAACCCACAATGTCCTCCTCACTGACGCTCCTCCCGGGCCGCTCTCTCTTCAGTAAAGAGGAAAGCACAATATCAGCAGTAACACTGTCAACCTGGAACTCTGCATTTGGATCAAACATTTTGTCGAGCACCTTCAGTGCATCATCGACCCGTCCCCATTTCAACAGCACACTAATCACCCCATTGCGAAGATGGGTATTCTTCAAACCGGGCTCCAGACCGTTATACACATTGACCGCCTCATCCACCATACCAGCAAAGCCCAGCGATCGAACTAGCAGAACAGCGGCGCTCATATTAACCGGAATGTTCCGCTCTTTCGCCATCTTATACATGTCGAAAAGCCTAGTTTGCGAGTTGGGTTCTCGCTTAGCGAGCTCGAGAACGGCCTGGAATGATGAAGAGAGCGAGGCCGCCGCCGCCGAGTCTGGTGAGGTTGCCACATTCTCGGAAACGTAGTCGAAGAACTTGAGGGCTTTGGAGGAAGTGTTGAGGCGGCGAGTGATGCGGAAGAGAGAGCAAGGAGAAGGAGCGGCGGCGGAGTCGGAGAAGAGGAGGTGGCGGAGCTGGTCCAAGTTCCAGTCTTTTTCATCGGATTCGAGGAGTTGGACGACTTGGGTTACTAGCGAGTCATCTTCATGGGGTTGTTTGCTGGGTTTGGGGTTGGGATTGAGATCGGAATCGGTGGAGAATTGGTGATTGAGGAGGAGGAGAACGACGGAGGATTGGGTTTTGGAGGGTTGGGGTTTAAGGAGGTGCTTTGAGGCTGAGAGTGATAGGTGGTTCATTTTGTTTTGGGGGAAATTTGAAGTAGGGGATTAGGGTTTCAGAAGACATGGGATTGCACTTTAGGACTGTTTATTTCAATTTTGATTTGGTGTCTAATTTTTCTTTAATGGGTTTGTTAGTAAAATTATGATTGTTTGATCATTTGTTTGAGAAAAAAGAGAATGATTTCGATTTCTAATCTCTCATTTTATTTGTTTACTGACACATAAGAAATCAATATACAATCAAATAAAATAAAAATATACGAGTATACATCAAAATTAGTAATCTAATCCTCGGTAAATCAGAAATTAGATCAACTACTCCTATGATCCCATCTAGTTGATCCAATCCACATTCCTTACTCTCGTATATAGACCTAATTTCTTATTTCTCTTGGTACAACTACAAGTAATCGTAGAAATTGTACATGTATTAAGATTCCAGCTTCGATTCCGTTTGCACAAAATACATGCAACTAGCAAAGTTCCACGGGAGAAGTTTGTATGCATTTCACACTCGTAGAAACCATTCCTCTGTTGTTACATCGGACAGAATATAAATCACTCCTCAACTGCAGCAAATAATAATGTTCTCATATTCTTTGTACTCAAATAGTAATCACATAAGGTTACGAATAAAACCCCGAAATGGATTCGAGTCTTGTCTCTGAAGTTGCTTCCAAATTCTAAACACAACTTTATGCAGAAGAATAAAACATTTCTATGACAACTTAAAAGTGGAAACCAGTTGCATATTTTGGATACCTCGCAGTTGCATAGAGGCCACCAGACAGCGTCGGTGTTGCACATTTTCATTACGTACCTATTTACTTCGTTATCTAACTTTCAACGCGAGCCCTGCCCTTAGAAACGAATTCTGCTAGGTTCGCCCCTTATCCGTCGCTTGTCTGGCTGCCTCCGCTAGGTTAGTTGCTTCTATTGATCTTCTCAGCTGCTGCAGATGCTGCCTTGTCCAAACCCCACTTTTGCAACGAACCTTAAAAACCATTAACATCTTGAGCACTTGTTCTATATGGGCTGTGGGCAGCGCCAGAAAATGAACCGTCAGTCGCCTCTTCCTTGTAACCTTGGCATGATATGGATGCTGCATCATTCCAGCAAGACTATGATATACTAGCACGCCTGATAGAGGGGAAAGAGAACAAGTGTGCAGAACATCGGAACCATGTAAGCAAGGGCGTGCAAAATCTGTGAGGAAAATTATTTAAATTATGCGCATCGTACAAGTTCAGAGGAGTGAAGCTCATGTGCCCAATCAAGCTTTGGTTCTAGGCTTGTCCGAGCTTGAGCTAGCCTAGCTCAAATTCAGTAGCTTTGGTTCTAGTGATGAGAAGTAGTTTTTTTTTTTTTTTTTTTTTTTTAATCGACGTGCATTGTTGATATTGTTCTACTAAAAAAAATTAATACATACACGTGTTAGAATATGAATATGAATATGAAACTGAATATTATAGCTGATTGTAGTGTTTCAATTGAGATAGAAAAGTCTTCCTAGAAAGCTTAAAACTATCATAATTTTTTGTAGGATTTAATTCAAATTATCTTCGTCCTAGTGGGACTGGAAATCTATTTTGATGATGCACTTATAATATGTTTGGATTCATAGTTGATATCCTATGGTTTCTAATAGGATAATGTTTAGGATTGATCTATTATAAATAGTGATCACTGCTCTGATAAAATGTACGCTCAATATTGAATTAAGACCTATTGTTAGTTTTGAGTACTTTTGGTTTTGCAATAGAGGAGAAGGTGCACTGTTTAGAAGTTTGCTTTGGCTTCTTCTTATACTGCTTTTACGGGTTAGTTTGTTATTGCCTTTATTGAATTGCGATTTTAATACTTGTATAAATTTGTGGTTCATGAGCTTAGTTTTTTAACTTATGTTTTTTTGTTAGTGTATCCTGCTGTGTACTTCTTGTTAGTATTTTGACAGTTTCTGAGTAAATTTTAGTGTAGGTTTTGAATGATTTTCAACAAGGAATTGAAGGATTCGATGAGCTAGGATTTCGGAGAACACACAAAATGGGGGGTTCGTTGCTTATGCCATCTCTAACTTAAAACCATTTTCTGCAATTTTTTCTTTCAGCCGTATATAGATGGATACGAAAAATGAATGATTGAAATTGAAAATAAAAATAATTGTCGAAATCAAATCTAAAAGTTAAAACACTAGTATCACGATATGCTACTTAACATTGAAGTCGCTCTCTCTTTATGATTGGTTTTGTTTATATGTGGAACTTTGGTAATGAACCTCTCTTGGGATTAATTTGAATTGAGGTGATGGAATGAAGGGCATGCAAGATATAGTCAATAGCATTTTTAGTGACTTTTTGTAGTTGAGATGAACTTTTTCAAACGGTAATGCTAGAAAAACTAAATTTATAGATAAAACTTTGTAAACGAAATGTTAGGATGGTAATCCCACGGTCGACATCAAGAGTTGAGCGGCCTTGTCCAAGTCAAAAGATCCTAAAGACATTGTTTTTTAGAGTCGTTGTTTTTATTTTTTTTTTTGGGTTCAATTACCGAATTTGAGAGTATTTCGTGACGTAGAATTTGTGAATAGGATCCAAAAGTTACTATTTTCTAATCAATTTTGCACAAAATTCTCCGAACTCGCAAAGCTCCACAATTTTTTGTACATTGCACACTCCTAAAACCGTTCATATGTTGTCCAACCCAAAAGAATATAAATCAAGTCACTCCTCAATTGCAGCAGATCCTACCGCAAATAATAATGTTCTCAACCTTTGTTTTTTATTTTTTTATTTTTTGATATTATTATTAAGGATAGTGGATGAGTTTGACCATTACAATAATTTAGGGTAAAGGGAAGTATCGAACTTGAGATGCATGCGTAGAAACTTAGCAACCTGTCCTAGGATATTGGACCACATGCAAACTTATATGAAAAGTGGAAATGAAAGGGAAACCCAGTATTGTATGCACAAATAGTAATCACACGAAGCTTCGAATAAATACCGAAATGGCTTCAAATCTTTATTTGTGAATTTGCTTCGAAATTCCGAACATAACTTTATGCAAAAGGATCAAACTTTTCTATTACAAGGGGGAACCGAACTGCACAATCCGGATACCTCACTGTTACAGAAGATAGATTTGTCATGTTCCTTCAAACTCTTATTGTCACAAAGACAAGGCAAGTCCGTTGTGTTGAGAGTTTCCAAGAGACCGCATGAATGTTGCTCATTTTCATTTCATACCTATTTACTTTGTTATGCAACCTTGAATTGAATCGGTAATAACCAACTACCACGAGCCCTGGCTAAATGCTATGTTAGGTTGGCCCTTACCGGTCACTTTTGGGGTTGCCTCATGGTTATTCGCCTCTATTGATCTTCTCAGCTGCTTCAGCTGCTGCAGATGCCGCCTTGTCGAAACCCAACTTTTGTAACTCACTTGAAAAGCCATCAACATCAGCAGCACTGATTTTATATGGGCTGTGTGTAGCACCAGGAAACGTACCACTAGTCACTTCTTCCTTGTATTCTACTAGAGCTTTGTTGATGACTTCTCCAACATGTGCAAACTGCTTGCAGAATTTCGGGGTAACCTGAAAAAGGTGCGGTGGTTATTTGTTTAGATGAAATTCACATGATTGGACAGTAAACAGCATTATTAAAGAGATGCAACTGTTGAGTTAACCTTGGCATGATGTGGATGTTGCATCATTCCAAGAAGATCATGGTAAACTAGCACCTGCGTGATATAGGGAAGAGAGAATTAGTGCGCAGAAATAACGGAACTTGGTCTATGAAGAAAAGGCATGCAAAAACTGCATTAACTACAAGTTCAAAGAAGTGAATTAACACAATTCAAGCTCATGAGTCATCTAGCTTTGGTTCTACATATCTCTGAAGCTTGATCCTAACTCAAATTTAGTAGCTTTGAGCTGACTAACCGACTACATTCAATTACTAGCATGCAACCTTTTTTATCAGCTATGAATGCCGATGTGAAAAAACTGTGGAACAATGAAAATTGTTATTTATTTCCCCGCCCGAAAATCAAAAAATCCATTGCAACAAGAAAATTTCAAGTTACAGAAAGACACACTACATAGATTTGAACAATATGCTACTAAACAAACTACCTTGAAGATGGTATATCTATTTAACACCAAATGGAATTGCATACACAAGGCATATGCATACAACCAACATGATTAGGATTACTTAATCAACTAACCTGCCCACTACAGAAAGGCCCTGCACCAATGCCAATGGTAGGAATCTGAAGAGCAGACGTTGCAGCAGCAGCCACTGGTGGAGGTACGCATTCTAAAACAACAGAAAAACACCCAGCTTCTTGCAGAGCCAGGGCTGTCTCCACAACCTGCACACAGAATCCAACGCAACAAATTATTACAGCAAAGAAAACCTGAAAACCTAAATAGCAAAACAGAATTACCATTTGCATATGTACAGACCTTTACAGCACTAGCAACATTCCTTCCCTGGGGCCTAAAACCCCCAAGAACACTAATGGCCTGGGGAGTAAGTCCCACATGCCCCATCACGGCAATTCCAGCTTCAACGATGGATTTTGCCGCAGTAATCCTCGAAGGTGCCCCTCCTTCCAACTTAATCGCATCCATTCCTCCCTCCTTTAAAACCCTCACCGCCGTATCGACAGCCTGCTCATAATCGAAACTGCAACATCACCAACCATGGCTCACTTACAAAATCACAAACCCAATCAGAAAAGCAAAACACACACTCATTTCTGCAATCCAATACTGGATTGTTTCTGCTTGGCAACCATGAAATTCGAAAATGTAAGAAATCAGGTAAATTTATTTATTTCACCATCTGGGATGTAAAATCCATCTGTCAAAAACAGAAAACGAAAAATTGATAAATTTATTTCTTTACTTTCTCAGCAACCAATCAGTCTTCAAATGTCATTTTCCTTAACATTCTCACTATCCAAACAGATTTATCTCCACATGAAAAATAAAACTAATAAAAGAAGCAACATCAAAACCCAAATTAACAACGCAATTTTCCATTTGATTTAGTAAATACCTGATTGGAGCTAGACTCATAGAACCCAAACGGCAAGTCCCCAACCAAAAGCGGCCTCTTGGCGCCACGCGCCACAGCTCGGCAGTGAACAAGCATTTCGTCAAGCGTGATGGGCAGAGTGGTGTCGTAGCCATGAACCACCATCGCCGCCGAATCGCCGACCAAGCAAATGTCTATGCCGGCGGAATCCAAGTGCACCGCAGAAGGGTAATCGTAGGCGGTGACCATGGTGATCGGCTCGCCCTTCTTGTGCTTCTGCTTCAAGTGGGTCACCGTGACTCTCTGGTCGGGTTTTGGGGCTTTGGCCCACCGTATACGGTGTTTTCCGGCACGTTGCTCATGCAACGGAGGATTGGAGAGAAGGCTCGCGACATCGATGTGGCTCGCTTGACGGCGGCTGCTAACAGTGCCATATTTTGAGAGAGAGAGAGAGAGAGAGAGAGAGAGAAATTGGGGGGTTTGTTTCGGCTGCGCCACCCAAAACTGAGGCAGCTGGAAGTTAAGTGGGAGTGGAATGAGTGAGAGAAGGGAAGTTGAATTGGGCGATATTTGACCCCCTGGGATTTTGACTTTTATGATAAATTTCATCTGCGGGCCACATTTTGGAGGCAAATGGTAAATTGCTGACCTTATGGGTTTTTTTTTTTTTTTTTTTCAAGATTCGTTAATTAAATATTAAATTACGAAATCGACAAAATTCGAACTCACATTACATAATACAAAGAGAATACTATTTTTATCACTGTAATATAGAGCCACTTGCACTCATGATATGGACCATATGGTATCTACTTGAGATTCGAGGTCTAATTAATTTGAATATTCCTGGTATAAAGTTTTTTTTTTTTGGGTCACCTGGTACGGGTCCTAAAGTTATAAGCCTTAAACCATTCTGTGTTTGCAGTTTGACAAGTTGTCAGCTTTTGAAACAAATCCACTTTATGCTCTTCCCTGGAGGAGGATCCTCTCACATTTTGTTGTGTGATGAGTCATAGATTAGGGAATTTACTTCATTATCCATTAGAAAATATGTAGTCTGAAAAGAAAAAAGCATAAGATGGTTGCGGTACAGCATTTTTCACATGACATTCTGTTTAAAGATTCGAAAAGAACTGGAACCAAACATATTCGTTCGCAAATCAGTCTCATTTGTTAGTTGGTCATTGCTCTCATATCTTCGATCTTCATCTGTAATTGAACTCAACTCGAGTATGATTACCTGAAGATCTTTCAATCATATCCGTTCATCGTATATCGTGCGGTTAAAAAATATTATAAATTTTTAATTAAAATTTGAATATAAACATTACCTAACAAAAACTGACCTGCACGATATACGATGAACGAATGTAATTGGAGGATCCTCGATATCCTTACAAAGAGGATCCGACGAGGATCCTCTCTCATGCACTTCTTCACGAGGAGATAGGATCCTCGCTGGATCCCCTTTGTGAGGATTTTGGGATTTTTTTAATTCTGTTCGTTTATCATACATCGTGCAGTCAGTTTTCGTCAGACAGTGTTTGTGTATAATTTAAAATAATTTTTGACCACACAAAGTACGATAAAATGACAGGATTAAAGGATTTCAGGAATCCTTTAATCATGTTCGTTCATCGTACATCGTGCGGTTAGTTTTCGTCAGATACTATTTGTGTTCAATTTTAAATAATATAATTTAAAATGATTTGTGACCACATGATGTATGATGAAAGCACAAGATTAAAGGATCCTGTTTGTGACCACACGATGTAAGATGAAATCCTTTAATCTTGTCGATTCATCGTACATCGTGTGGTCAGTTTTCGTCAGGTAATGTTTGTTCTCAATTTTAAATAATATAATTTAAATAATTTTTTATCTCACGATGTACGATGAAATTATAGGACTAAAGGATCCCCGCAATCCTTGCAAAAAGGATCTGGGGATGATCCTATCTCCTTCACGAGTCCATATACTATCAGATAGCCTTAATCTCATTATTTTACAAAAGTATATGTTAAATGTTATATAATTTTCATTAGCTTATTAGTTCATTAGTTATGTTGTTGTTTACTAGCATTAATGCACGCGCTCACATGAGTGCATAAGGTATTTTTTAAATCACATTGTGCTACGCACGACTTACATGTTTTAAATGTATTTATATGCGTGAATTGACAAAATGAAAATCAAATATTTGAAGCAAATGAATAATCTTAGATCGTGCTAGAAAACCCCCTCACAAACCAATCAAAGCATTGAATTCACATAATTAATCGCTCTTCCAATTTCCATCTACATTCTATTGAATTTACATTAAGAATAGAGAAAATAATATTTAATAAACAACTGATTGAATCACATTATTGCTAGCCCATTATGAGGCTAAACCCAGCCTTCTCCCCTTTAGTGTAGATAATATCATTTGTTCAAAAAAAAAAAAAAAAAAAGAAGTCATTTGACAACTAATTTAATTACATTATTATGCGCGTGTGAAAAACATTTTTTATTATCAGCATTGCATGCTCTTAAGATGATTTGAACGTGTTTAAAAATGGAGAAAATAATATTTAATGAACAACTGATTGAATCACATTATTGCTAGTCTATTGTGAGATATTAATTAAAAAAAATATACAAAAATAATTAATTATTAAAAAAAAAACACTGTTAAAATGACGAAAATACTTTTGCATTATTTTGGGCTGCTTTTGAAATTTTTTGTTTTGGGGGCATTTTTGTCTAAAATTTTTTGGTGAAACTTGTGAACCTAAAAGGAGTTGTTGGCTTTATATATAAAGAAGATATGTTGAAGGGGTACTTCATTGCGATGGTCTGCTCCTAGAATAAGGATTGAAGATGAGGGAAAATTTGATGCAGTTTGGATTGCAAAAGAAGGTCGTCCCCATTTTTCACATGAGAGGCAGGCATTTGTTCCAACCTTTTTTTTCTTTTTTTTTTAAGAGGGAAACAATTAGTGGCAAGTCATGGTTATCCATCATTTTCGGACCCGAAAAGGCTATGTGGAATTTTACCATGTTTGTGGCCACAATTAAGCAAACTCATTAACCTCGGAGCATTGAATTTAGGACCTTCCACATTTTTTATTTACTGAGGAGCCGCAGTTTGCGCCTTTTCCATTGGGCCACTTGTTGTGGTTGTTCCAACCTTCTCTTTCAAAATGACAAAAAGTGATAATGTTGACATCTAGTTCTATGAGTTTATCAAACAGGCCATTGACGATTTATTTAGGTATTATATTCATTTTATATATCTCGTGGATGGAAATAATTGACAGCATATGAGATGTAGAGTATTTTGGGGAGTCATATGGCTGGTTTGGATTGTTGTACTTTGAAGAAAAATTGATTCTGCTGTGCTGTGAGAACAAGCTCATTTTTGCTGCTTCACGTTTTCAACTTTATTTCACCCAAAACTGTGAAAATAAGCTGTTTTTAAGTGTTTATCAAACACCTTTTTGAGCTCAGCTTTTTTTTATACCTACTTTTATAAAAGCACCTCAGTACCAAATTTGTACATAAACTCGAATGGATATGATATTTAACTGTGCAAACAATTTATTATTTACTGGCATGATGGTATAAAATTCATACATCTCTATTCTATGAGGTCGATTGACGTCTATCTGGTAAGTAGTAAACCCACATCTGTGTTGTATGCAGGGTAAGGGTCTTGATGAAAAATTGTAGAGTACCTTGGAGCTCACCGCTAAGCATGTTGTTACTTGCAGCTTTTGACAAGTACCTCACACAAAATTTGGGCTTTTTGCTCTTGCAGATAATCTTCCCATGGATTGTTTGATGAGATTCATGCTTAAAGGAAAGTCAAAGGTGTTGTTCATGTGTTGGCTGAGAAGAAGGATTGGCCTACACTATATGACATCTATGCATTAAAAAATAACAAGGTGTGTTACCTTTATGTGAAGTTAATCTACTTGAATAGCATCTCGCCATAAGGGTTTTACAAGGAGAAGGAGACCTAAACTTTCTCGCAGCCTATGATGTTTTTCATTTTTACCGAATCCTTAATATGAATATCAGCAGTTTCGCTCGCAAGTGTGTAAATACTTAAATTTGGTTCTATCAATGTTGACAAGTACCTGTTGTAGCTTTTGCTTACTATGAAGATATGCTTGTCAATTTCAAGCTGGCCATGGAAACCGCTTTGGAAATAGCAGGCATTCGGCTCTGGATAACCAACGAATTCATGCATTCTGGTTTATGTGATAGAGGAAGATATGTTTTTGATCATTTGACGGGAATGCTAGATGGGAATAAGTCGTTATTCTGATTTCCATGGTGTTTGGGTTAATATTTGAACTTTGGACTTGAAGCCCAAAAGAGCTAAAGTGAAGGAACTCACCCGAGGCCCAGCACTAGGCCCAGCCATCCATTTCAAGACAATATGATGACTCCTTATTAATGAAAGGGTTATACAAGAGAAGTGACAACCGATGGAAATCAACCTATTATTAGCCAAAAAGCACTTTATGGTGGCACTACAAGTAGAATGTTGATGACTCACTACTCCCAAGTTACTTTCGAGCAAATACAAAGGCACATCAGTTGGGCTAATTCGTCTATAAAAGGAGGAAGAGGCCCCAGAGACAAGGACACTCAACCAATCAAACAACCAAGCATACAACTTGCCTCTCAGTCAAGCAAATACCCAGAAAGTTGTGCTTTACCCAGATTCTGTACCCTTTTAGCCTTAGAATCCCCTTAAAAAGACATCTTTTCTCTAGTATAAAAGCTCTGTTACCTTTTCTAAATTCTGTAGTATCAATTCTCTTGTGTAAACTTCTTCACTACTCATCTTGCTTTAGTACTCAACCCCTGTAACTACAAAGAGAAAAGACCGCAAGACGTTTAAACCTTACCTGACAAGGTGAAATCTTGCCCGACTCTCTTTGTTTTGTCTTTAAGTTAATAGATCTGGTGTTAGGATGTATTCCCCAGTATATATTCAAGTTATTTACATTCTTTTGATGAACCAAAGTTCCGTCAGTTCTTCAGACCTGGTTCACTTAGTGGTTTTACTGTTATAAAAAGACTAAATGTGAATTAAATTGATGACTTGATTAGATTTGGACCTCAACCCTTTAAGCATACAAGATAACCAACTAAAAGTCCTTGATCTCAAGGCATAGAAAAGAACTTAATGTAGACTTAATCCATCTACAACAATCATTTGATAACAAGAAGTCAGAATAACTTAGAGCGCAAGTAATTGGCTTAAACACACTTGTTCTATATCTGCTATACTAAGATGGTAGTGGCACGCCTAAGCACTTAGTTAGTTTTGATTATGAGTCTCAAGGCCTACACCTAAGGCCCCATAAAGGCACATTTCAGAGTTAACTTTGTCCTCCTCTTGTAGCATCTCGGCAAGCCATGAGCCCAATAACCAACCACAGTGCCAACTCCTCGGGGAGTTGTGTACTCGAGCTAGGGACCTTCCTAGCTAGATTTCCTGCCCGAACATAGTTTTGGCACTGCCCGGTGGGACCACAAGTCTTGTATGTCAAGA